GTTGGTCACAGCAATTTAATTTATGCTTCCAGAATGAATAAGGGAGTAGTGATATTTTTAAAGGAGGAGCGCTTTGTGAACCAGCTGATTGTCAGTGGGGTGACAATAGGCGGAGAGTACTTGCAGGTGTCGCCGCTTGCGGTGCCCTCCACCCGGGTTATTGTCTCCGGCGTGCCGCCGTTCATTCCCAATGTTTTGGTGGAGAAAGAGCTCCAGCGCTTTGGGAAACTTGCGAGTGGTTTTAAAACTGTTGGTTTGGGATGTAAACATGACAAACTGAAACACGTTCAGTCTTTCAGGAGGCAGGTTTTTATGTTCCTAAACTCTGCTACAGCGACGCTAGAAGTTTCTTTCAGAGTGAAATATGCAGAAGGATCTTACATGGTTTATGCGAGTACTGGGAGTATGAAATGCTTTGAATGTGGGGATGTTGGACATAAACGGGCTTCTTGCCCGCACAAGAATCAGGAAGCTCAGGTTGAGGTGAGCGGAGGTGCAGAGGAGTCGCCGGTGGTTGGAGCTCCTCCGCCTGCTGAGGGCGGGGCGTTTCCTCCATCAGCTGGATCTGATGCTGGGGAGGGAAGCAGTGGTCTGAATAAACGTGCTGCAAGGGAGAATACTGAGAAAACTGGAACCGATACTCCCAAGGACTCCTTAGATGGGAGCAAGCTAGATGTAGAAACGGATCAGACGGCTGGTTATGTTGCTGCCGAGGCTGCAACGTCACCTGAAGGTGGCGCTGCAGAGGATCAGTCTGCAGATTCACCTGCACAGGTAGAGGACATGAAGTCTGACAGCGACTCAGACGGCGTTTCAATCGCAGATTCTCAAACATCCAGTGGTGATTTGTACACTCTGGAGGAAATTAATGATTTTCTGGATGAAACGTTTGGAAAACAAGTTAAAGTCCTTGATTATTTTCCTGATGCGGAAAAATTTATCAAGAGTGTATTAACGGTGCAGAAAATAGTTGGTTTTGAAATGTTGGATGAAAAGAAACGGTTCCGGTTAAAAAAGCATATGACAAACATCCGGAGACATTTGTCAGTAACTAAAGCAAAAGGTTCAAAGCGACTGAAAACTCAGAAATAAGATGATGATTAAAGTGCACTGGGTGACCTTCTCTCTACTGTCTCTGTCTGTCTTCCTTCTCTTTTTCACCTATATGAGTAACATCAGGGTGGGAACTTTAAATATCAATGGTGGGAGGGATCCACATTAACAGACGGTTAGTTTAGAGACGATTAGGCAAAAGAAACTTGATGTTGTGTTTTTACAAGAGACACACACAGATCATGAAAATGAGGTGGAGTGGGGTTTGAGTTGGAAAGGGAAATATTTTCTATGTCATCTGCTGCTGTAGCCGTTTTATTCTCACCAGGTTTAGATATCGAGGTTATTTCTTATACTGAGCTGGTCCCTGGAAGGGTCCTGGTGGTTAGAGTGGAAATAGAAAAAACCCTTTTCTGTTTTATGAATGTTTATGCGCCAAATCAAGGGGATCAAAGGATTAAGATTTTTCAGGACATGTATAATTTTTTGCAGCAGTCCAATCAAAATGAATGTGTTGTGTTGGGGGGTGATTGGAACTGCACTGCTAGTTTTCTAACTGACAGAACCGGGGAAGAACCTCATCCTCCATCTTCTTCTAAA